GTAACCAAGCCTGGATGAGGAAAGCAAGCGGGGAAGGCCAACCGACTTCACATTGGGGGGCTGCCCTTGGCAAAAACAATGGGAGTGCAGCAGCTCGCACCTTGCCGGGCACTTTGTTCAGTTCCGTTTCCCATTTGGTGAGGTGCACAAAGCCACTCATAACCTACACATCCCCTAGCCCCACCCCCTCAAGTCAAGCCATTGGACTTTGGGCAAAGGCACTGGAAACTTTGAACTGACACTCCTCCCAAAATGTTTGCGTTTCAGCATGAGCTCTTTAGATGTGTGGGGTATCCAGATTCTACCAACCTCATGGGTCTTTAGTTGCTCTGGTCAGCGCGACCCCCGATAGGTTTAACCATCTCTGTCAGTGCATCTATGACATGTTCAGACCGTGCAGTACGCAGGTTGGGTGTGTGCCGCACGTCACGGTCTTCCACCCAGACATCACCCTTTTGTGGAAGGCCCACCCAAAAACATCCATCAAGGTGGACGCATCCCGCATCCCCCCGCCTGCCAAAGACGATGAAGGCGCATGCAAGGCTGGAACCTGGGCACCAACTGACTGGTGCGGCTTTCGGTTCGGCAGCTGGTTTCGATCAAGTTGGGCCACCGGGCGTAGCAGAACTTCCCTGAATCATGTAGTTTCACACAGTGATGCCAGGCAAGCCGCGGGTTGCTTAGATTACAACACACGGCAAACAAGGCGTTGTCTTTGCGAATCTTGGCACGCAGAACTCCAAACATCTGAGACATGTTGCGGGATGTTGCAGGAGCTAGGACATTTAAACTGTTGGGGCTCCGATCTTCACTGGCAAAAAAATGGGATAGACGCTGGCTGACGACCAAGATCTCATCAGCAGTTTCCAAGAACACAGATACATGCGCGGTATCTTTTGTTCGGGAACACTGGTCCGACACCTTCTATTTGCATGGGCCACGCCATGAGGCAATAAACTTAGGGCACCAAACTGGATGAGTTTGCCTTTGAGGCCAAAAAGAGGCCACCCAATGTTGAGCCCCAGTGGAATCGGTAGGACTGAGACCTCCAGAGCTCCTCAACCCTCTTGCGCGTCCCTGTTGCACGCAGTCGCACCCGGGCACGTTGGCCAGCCTGTGCTAGGGGCGAAATGCCATCTTTCTGGGAACCCAATTCCGGCAAAAGTCCCTGGCATTTGGCCCTCCACCCGACCAGTGTGAAAAAACAAATGCTCTGATGGGAAGGAGAATGCAACGCTGAAAGCAGCGGTGATCCTCGTGCTCCTGTTTGATTTGGCGCGTGCACGGATGGCAAATCAGGACTTTTTGTACGTCCCTGCCTAGCCGCCTAGATGTGTATTTTTGCATACATCCATCCATCCATTCATCTGTCGGCCTGGCTGTCTGTCTTTCCGTCCGTCTGTCTATCCGTCTGTCCGTCCGTCCGTCCGTCTGCATGCACATTGTCATTGTTGGTTGCCTTGTGTATTGTCTCTATCCTATCTATCTTTGTTTTACCATATTGATCATATCTGTGTTATCTATACTATCTGTCTTATCTGTCTTACCTGTTTTATCTGTCTTATCCGTCTTGTATGTCTTGTCTGTCTTACCTGCCTGATCTACCTGGTGCATTCCATATACATATAGATATATCGATATCATCCATCATAATATATATATATATGGTGTATCGTATCCATATTATATATACACCGCGCCGGCCAAGACTGATCTTCTCTATGTTGTTTATCGTATGAATCATATCCATATTATCTATATAACATGGTGTATCTACATTATCCATCCTATCTGCCTTGTCTATAGTCAGTGATATTGTGCATACTTATGTATTGTGTTTATATATAGATATCGATATATCTGTCTGTCTATCTGTCTATCTGTCGATGTGTCTGTTTGTTTCTCTGCCTGTGTCTGTGTCTGTGTCTGTGTGTCCGTCATTATTCTGCCTTCCTGCCCGTGCCGCTGCGATGCTGAGCCGCCCCCGGTCTCTCTCTCTCCCTCTCTCAATCTGTCTCTCTCTCTCTCTCACAATCTCTCTGTCTCTCGCTCTCTCTTGTTCTCCGCGCATGTCGGGTCTCTTTTCAAGCTTGCACTAGCGCAGCTAATGACGAAATTATGGCAATCATGGCCAACTTGTTCATCATCATTTGCTTTATTTTTTATTCGCGCGTGTTGAATGTTTCAAAGAGGAACAACTACATCTATAACGGATCTGAACACGGATTTGCACGTTCAGCCTCAGCGCAACTCTTCTGTGGCCGCTCCCTTCATACATGACCAAAAAAAACAACAACTCTTGGCGCACCCCAGTTAGAATACTAGCCCACTAACCTCGCTATGCACCGTGGGCAAGTCGTCCCACGACGGGTGGGTTGACAGTGCCAATGCCGGAAGGGGTGAAGTGCCACCCACTTTCACATGGGCAGCTGGCCATCCCGGGAAGGGTCATGTTTTTTGCGGGAAGCGTGGTGTTTCGCACTCGATCTTTACTCTGTGTGGCTTTCGTCTCTCCTTTTCCGGCCGGTCGCATTCTGTCAGTGGACCGTCCTAGACAACGGCCCGCCCATTCTTCCCAGATTTCCCCAGCGATTCTCATACTCATGGCCAGGAATCCAAGCCAAGGTTTTCCTGTAGGGATCCAATGGGGCGGGAACATCTTTTCCACCGCCCTGAACCGCGGCTCTCTCTCTCTCTCTCTCTGCCTCTCTCTCTCTCTCTCTCTCTCTCTATCTCTCTTTCTCTCTCTCTCTCTCTCATTGAGTCACGGCGAAGGAGTCCACATTAAAACAAGGTGCCTGTATTGCGGCCGAAAGCCTTGAAGCTAAATTTATATCTTGAATTGTTTGAATATTTCTTCCTTAGCTGTCGGGTGAGTGTTCGTTTTGCTTGGCCAATCTTCCAGCTTCCGCGGACCCCCCAAGCTGCGGCCAAGGATTCCTTCCGAGCTACCGATGTTTCATCGTTTGCTTCCGCTTTCTGACTGAAACACACTCGAGCGAAAGGCGAGGAACAGAAAGCAGCGGAGAAGACGAGAATCGGAGCAGAACAAACTGGGGAAAGAAATGAGATGTCAGAGATGGCCTCGGTGGGCAAATAGTCCAGGATTCGGATCGCTGCGGGATCCCGAACAGGATCTGTTCACGCGATCTGTTCGCATGCTGGTGGTCCCCCTTTCCAACGTTTGAATCAGAACTTGTGGAAGGCTCAGCTACCTTAGCTCAGCTAGGTACGGCTTCTTCGAAGACACAATTTGGTTTGTCCCATATTTGGAATCCCGTACCCCCAGTGAACATCCCAATTCCCACTAAAAGAGACTAAAATGGGTGGTGAATTCACCTACCCCAAAATGGGATCCTATTGGTTTTGACAGCCACAGCCATTTGACAACATCCAAGACCTCAAGTCACCCTTAAGTCCCTCAGCGTTTGGCTCACCTCGTGACTAAGGCAGCGGCTGCGGTCTCCGGTCTCACCTTCGGATGCACCCCGAGAAAGACCCGCGGCTTTCCCTTCCGGGTCCCTGGATCTGAACATGGGCATACAAGTTGCATTTAGGGGTCTCAAACATAGCGATTTGGAGGGATCCATCAGGACCTTTGCCTGAAGATTAACAGGAAGGAACCTTACCAGATGTTGCATGGTTTCTAGCTAGAAGGGGACTCCCCGAAAAGTAAACAAGAGACAGGTTCATCTACTTGGCTGGAGAATCGCGCACGCTTTAAACCCACAAACCAACTAAGGGCAATATGCCAGCCCAGGGCATAGTTCTGGAGCAGACGCAAACATGGAAGGCACTGCTGGTCTTACTATCGCGAAATCGGCAACAAGCCACGGGCAATATGCCCAAGTCACTCCAAAGGCGGACTTTGTAGATGACCCTTAGGCCATCTTTGCGGCTGATACGTTTTTCGTCGGATGCAAGCCCGGGCTTGCAGCTGGACTTGCACAGGCAAGCGCTTCGGTGGAAAACATCCCGAACCAGCCACACACTGATGGCAGTCAAGGTATATCTTTCAGTCCCAGATCTGAGTGAGCACCCCACCTTTTTTGTATGGAAAAAGTTCAAAAGAGGTCTCTAGTCCGACTTTCTCAGTAAATCAGACAAGCAAGCTTAAGCTTAATGGCTGCCACTGAAACGATCCTTGAAAGTAACAATGCCCAGAAACAAGGAAGTAAGTTGGACACAGAGTCCGCAAAGCACACCATTGGAGGAAATAGACGGGTTGCTTCACCCCGACAAATCACATCTAAGAGCTATTGTGCGGGCCATATTCCAAAACCCTTTTTCTCATTGCAACATACACGGGCACCGGCGGGACTCGAGCGCACGACCTTCCCCCTGGGCGGTCATGCGACGAATCGGTAGACGATGGAGGGTGCGCTGACACTAGCACCGCAGGCCCGTAACGCTGACGGAGACACACCACGTGGAGTGACGTTTTGCAGGAAGCCGTGAGGTGCCTACCAGGACTTGGCTTGTCTTGTAGTCAGAGACAAAGTACGGTGAGAGGTAGTAGGGGATATCTCAGCAAGCTTGCCAGCAAGCTTGCTTGCGACATTCGTCAAGGTGGACTTGAAAATAGGTGGCAAATGGATGTTCATCCCCAAAATGGGAACGCCATAGGTTATGCAACCCATGGCCATATGGGTGTGTCAAAAAAAGGTGCCCAACATGGCTTGCCCTGGCAAATGGAAACAAGGACCAAAACCTGCGGTTTTTTGGTGGTTTAATTTTGACGCGGTCCCCTGGTGGTTGAATTTGACCCATACCCATGTGTCGGTACCCTTTTACTGCCACCCCAAGTCGTCGCCCCCTCGCCGAGGTTTTTGGTCGCACGCCTCGAAGCCCTCCAGCAGATGCTCCTCCCCCCGGCCTTGGTCAACCAGTCAACGAGTCGGTTTCGTTGGACAGGAACGTCAACAGGAAACCCTTGGACCAAAACATCAAATTTGTATGGGTCAAAATAAAGCCAACAGAAAAAAACACAAGTTTTAGTCCTTGTAGTCATTTACCCAGGTTTGATTTGGGGTACCTATTTTTGACCCACACCCGAATGAGACACACCCCAAAACATCACCAGGATGGCACAAACTCCCATAAGCAACTCGGGAAGACGAAGCCCACGAGCGATTGTGGCTGTCACCCAACCTTTTCTTGAAAGGCCCTGTGCTTTAGCCCAAGACACCCCCAAAAAAACAAGTGGCCTCCCCAATCACATCAAATAACAAGGCCATTGGGCCTCTGTGAAGGGTTCTGATGGCATTTTGGGCGTCAGGAGAGCGAGTTGAGCTGCATGGGGAACCTGGGCACTCTGTCAATTGAGACCCGGGACCCGAAGAGGGAACCAAAAGCAAACCGATGTCGGGTTCTGACTCAGGGCATCCCCTGGTTACCTGCATGCAACTGAATCACAGGACGTTCATGGCTTTCTACCCGCAGGCCCGACCAAGGCGGGTGATGTAAGTGGACCCCTGTTGAACACATATTGTTTGGCGCCTTTGGCTTCTGGCCTTGCAAAATCAACCCAGCGAAGTGGCTGTTTTGTTTGGAGGTGGGAGAATTGTCCAGCTGGAGTTTGGAGGTTCGAAGGAAGAAAAGAACACTTTTAAAGTGTCCTGCTTTGAGAACCCAAAAAACATATTCATTGAGTGACTATTGGTACCAATCTGGTTGTAAAAGTCTACATAGGCCTCTAATTAACGAGGGAATTCCTACACCAGGGTAACCTTTGGCACAAATCCCCTTCTGTCGGGAAGGAAACTAGGTCCTCCAGTAGAGAGGTCAGAATAAGGGTACCTTCTTTGTCTGTAGTCTATTTTAGTAGGGGAACCCTCCCAACCAAAAAAAGTGAGAAAGGGCAAACCATCAAATGAGCAACACCTAAAAGTGACGATCACCAACCTTTTTTGAAAGCCCCTATGCTGTAGCCCTCAAAATGACATGGCGAAATGGCTGTGGGTCAAAAATATGTGCCCAAAACGGAACCCTGGTGAATGGAAACATTGACCAAAACCTGCGGTCCAATTCCTGGTTTCATGTTGACCCATACCCAAATTGTGCCATCCACTTTCCCCCCCACCAAGCCGCGTCGCAGCCAAAACGTGGCTGCGGATCCGCGGCCGTGGCTTTCGAGCGCCTGGCTCTGCAGCGCTCGGCGCAGCGGCTCGAGATCCTCGCCGCCCACCTCGGCCGGGCGGACGAGCCCCCGGTTCTCCGCGTTTTTTTTGGGAAAAATGGCCGTCTCATGGGCAAATATGTGGCTGTGGTTGTCAAAACCCATGGGATCCCATTTTTGGTTGGTAAACCCATTTTAAAACCTGTTTTAGTGGGGATTGAATTGGATGTTTAATTGGGCATACGGGATTTTGACCCATGGCCACATGGCAGTTTCATGAGAAATATGTGGGTGTGGGTCAACTACACTTATAGAAGGCCACGGCACCTCACAGGGAAATGGACTCTAAAGGAAACTGATCAATGGGTTCTTGAAGAGAGATGCAGGGAGTGTATTCCATGGAAGTTGGCATGCCAGGGACAGGGAAAGACCTGCTTCGGCTCCCCAGATCTGGGCTGAAGTGCGAAGGGCCTTGGGAAACCAGCACAGTCGCCCAGAAGTGCCTCATGATGCAGGTTCCTTTTTATGGGGATCCCTTAGTTCGACTCGTAATTACAATAATTTCCTGTCAGTAGAATACAAAACCGAGTGGAGTACACAAAGAAACTGGCACTCAATTCATGAAGTGTTTGTCAAAGATGCGTTTTGACAAACAAACGCACCACAGACTCTTCGAGTGTTGGACAGAAAAGTGGAGGTATGACCTGGCCTGGTCCCGTGTTACCAAATGTCAGGGCAAACTAAAGCCAAGCCCCGGATAGGCGCTCATGCTCTCCTGGCTTAGCAAAAGAACCGCGCCACTTTTGGGAAGCCAAGCCAATATAAATAAACACAGCAAGCTAAAGGGGTGCCGAAAAGGCCACGGGTGAACGTCCCGGCCATTCGAGCAAGCGGCCCAAACGATGCAGGGGCAGGATGCAATGCAAACCTCAGTCGGTCGATCGGGAGGGGGAGGGAACCATACCTGCACGTAGAAAAGACCTGCTTGGCATCTCTTTTAGGACCCTTTTACAGTCAGTAATGCATGTGCCTACTTGATTTTAGGGCTCATGTCCCGTTTGGAGGTGAGAAGAAAACTGCAGACGAAACCTGACAGTCAAAAGGGCCCTCTTTGAAAACTCCATGAATGGCCGCTCAAATTTCCAGCTTACCTTTCGGACACACATATGGACAACTCGCTTGGTACGGAAATGAAACCCAAAGATTCCGTCGATTGAAATCAAAAAGTGTTGCGTGTTTGAAAATGGTAAGAACAAGAGTTTGCCCAAAAATCAGTGATAACGCCCTCAGCTCATCCAAATGAGCGGCACGGCTTCATCAGGAGCCCACTTGTTCAATCAAGTGACAGGTTGTCAAAACTGGTGAACCCATTTTTGGGAACGCTCTGAAAAGTCGCCGCGCAAAGTCACCATGTCCCAGGAAAAGCTCAATAGCGCCAAAGAGAACAGGTGAATCTACCATTTCCAGCAGTGCCCTAATGATCATTCCCCTCCAACTGGTAGCTCAAGCCTCGAGCGGACGAGCCCTGTCGAGGGTTCGGGTTCTAACAAGCCAACACCTGAAATTCACCATTGGCCACAATTGGTTTAAACAGCTGGCCAATTAAAAGGGAACCCTTTAAGGAAGGTCGTTAAAGTGCTTAAAATGTTGCAGGCGGGCGGCCCACCAGAGTTCACTTCCCAATTGTGGGCCTCACCAGTAGGGTCGTTTGGGCTTAGGGCCCAGCTTTTCGGGTGAAACCTGGACGCTTAGTGCTCTTTTCAGGCGCCATTTATGGGGCCGCCTATTTTCACAAGAAGCCACCTGCTCAACTTTAAGATGCACTCGGCGATTGGTAGCACACCGGTGCTATCATCCAACCCAACTCCCAACCCGGCAAACCTGCTCTTGGGGCTTCGGGGTTAAGGCAACAACCCGTAGTGACGCAGTGCACTGTGAGTGCGAGAAGGTTCCAAAGCCAAACGAGAATCACCATGAGCCCTCCTGGGCATTGGTTTTGACACGCAAGTTTGGGAAACGACTCGGTCTTTGATGCCTTGCCTTAGCCCAGGATTCCACACCCACTTCCTCTCCTTCTCCTCGATCTTATCCCAGCGCCGCAGTTTCTGATGCCTGGGGCAAACATGTGACCTGCAAGCAAACACCACTCGTTAATTGCAGGACAGAAGCCTTTACAATTTATGATCACTGCAATTTGGGATCGGGGTAAAGGCCACTTGACAGGCCAATTTTTCAAGTCCCCGGAACCGTTGGAATCCTTTTTTTGTGGGTGAGTCGCCTTGAGCAAGAAGTCGCAAGCGCGTGTTGATGCAAAGCCATTCAGGTTTGTCCTCGAATCCTTGAATATGGGCTCTCCGTATTCCTCCGGGTTCCCCTTGAAGCCCTTTCAGATACACCCAAAAAGGCACTTTGCAAAACACGGAAAAACCCACATACATACGCACACACACGCACATGTGGGAGGCTACCCGCTGCATGCCCCCCCACCTTTTGAGACCCAAAGCCGGCTTTCAGCCGACGAGATTTCACCACAAACCAGTTCCGTGCAGCTCCGCAAAGCGGCTACGCGATCAAAAGAGCGTGATACACCAACTCGCTCTTCACAACGAAGCTCTGCCTTTGCCCCCGACCTGTTGATTTATGTTTCTTCCTCTCACCCTGCATATCTTCCATTAGGAGTTTGAACCGACTAATTGCTTTGACTGTTTAAGTTGACCCATGTGTGCTTTGGTTCATTTGACAAGCGATTCAGATGGGATGAAGCAAGCCAAGCTTCACTGATGGGAAATGATCGCGCTTCTTTGACTCTGGATGGATTGATTGATAGTGCACTTGAAAAGAAAGCACCCGAGAAAAACTAAGAGGATCCTTCTTACGAATAAGGTCCCAAACCAAAACCTGCGTCAGGTCGCAGTATGCCCCGAATCAGATAGAATCCGTCCATTTTCAATGAGTGGCGTTTCCAGTCCGGGAGGCGCCCCCATTGTCTGAAAGCGAAAGGCAACCAAGAAAACACATGCCAAAAGCATTGAACCAACGAGAGAACCAACGGGACAAAAGGATGCCAAGTCCAACTAACTTTGCGCCATGCAATCCTGAATCCTGACACTTGGTCATGCTTTCAAACTTTGGGTCCTTGCCGATCTGAGACCGAGACAAGGAGCACTCGATGAGGTCGGGGTCTTCGCGAACCTATTGAGCTGCGGTTCTCGATTCTCCAAAGCTGACCCTTGGCAAATGAAGCTTCAAGATCGCCATCACAGACAACATAAGGGGGACATGATTGATAACCCTTTCTCTCAAGGTCGACAAGTTTATAGAAAACCGGATGTTTGGCGTCTCCCCCTGGCCTTCTCGGGTTGCCTGGCCAGTCCTCTCTGGTCTTTTCGTGTGGACTGTCTGGCCAATGGGACTGCAGGCGAGTGAAAGGACACGGCTTGCTTTCCAGGGCTAGGATGAATCAATGGGGGCTTGGGGCCAGCCTTGCAGGGTGGTACCCTTTTCGGCCTTGTCAAACCTTGCTTTTTAAACAACTTGTCACAATAATGTTCTGTTCCGGTTTTCTGGAATGGCACCCCTTAAGACTTGAAAGGAGTTGGCATTGGCAAAAGTATTGGAAACAACTTTGGACATTCAACATTTGGCTTTTGGTAGTTCTTTCGATTTTGGGCCAGAGGTGCCCCCCCAAAAAAAAAGAGGGGTCTTTGGCCAAACTTTGTGGGCGCCTTTGAAGTAGTCTTGGCTGGCAGTCGGCCGGGAAAGCCGGGCGTCTTTGATCAGAGGGGGTCGATTTCTCGCCTCAGGGATCACGGGACTTGCTCCAAAAGGTTCTGGCTGACTTCCCCAGCTTGGGCGTAGCAATTCGCCATGAAGGGACCCCTGCAGGTCGAATTGGCCAATTCCACCACTCGCCAAGAATCACCGTTCCGAAAAGGAACCTCCGCAAAGCAAAAACATTTGAGTGGCAGACTTCCAAATCAACTACACACGTTTCGCCCACGCCCAAACAACCGTCCCAGGTCCACTTCCGCGCCTCCTCGTGCCCGCTGCGCCTCGAAGCCGCAAGGGACAAACACATCGAAGCTCCCCCCTCCCCTCCCCAGTTCCGTGCGCCTAGAAAACAAGCGAACCCTTTTTTTGCCCAACTTGTGTCGTGCAGAACCACTTTGTTTCGGTTTTTTTCCCCAACAGCTGAAAGCTTTGGGGTCTCGGCCCAGATAGGCTCCGGGGTGGTCCGGGGCGGCCCTGAGGTAAGGTTCCACGAGGGTTCCATCAGGGTTCAACCAAAATTCCTCGAGCATTCCATGAGGTTCTGCGTGCGAGCACTAAACAGAGCACCGCATGTTGTTGGGGATATCACCTGAGAATATTTGTTTTTGTTCCGCAACAACTGAAAGCAATAATACCCCAACAAATAACGCCAATACTTCAAAAGGACAACCTCTACACCCGACCCAGGACGCGCCTAGGCTCCGGGGCCAGCCGCCGTCCTGAGAGCGTGGGAAGCTGGAAGGTGTCAAGGTAGTTGACTAGGTCCTCCAGATTTGAGAGGCTAGAATAAGGGTACCCTTCTTCCTGTAGTCTGTATTTACCCATCCATCCATCCATCCATCCATCCATCCATCCATCCATCCATCCATCCATCCATCCATCCATCCATCCATCCATCCATCCATCCATCCATCTGTCCATTCATCTGTCCATCTGTCCGTCCATCCGTCTGTCTGTCGGTCGCTCCGTGTAAATATATATTTAAATAGATGTATCGATAAAACGGGTAAAAGGGCACCTAGCTGGGGGACCTACTTGACCAGCCATTTAGCACTTATGAATGCGCGTTCAAGCTCGGCGGCTCAGTTTTGAGCGCGACAAGTCTGCACCATCCATGCCATCTGCCACGGGCATGCTATGCTCAAATATGAGAAACCTTCCCACTGTGCTGCTTCATGATGAGAGGAAACAAACCGCTGGTCCGACTTTGTGGCATTCAGTGGCACCCCGCTCAAATTGACCATTGACTGGAATTGTTGAGACCGAACCCAGTTGCATTCTGACCATTCACTGGAATTCTTGAGACCGAACCTGAGCCTTTTCAAACATTCGAATCTTGAGGGGGGCCTTTCAGGGTTCTCCATAGGGCCAGGTATCCAGAAGTGGTTGACAGTTCTCGCCTCTTGGCCTCTCTGTTTGTCAGCAATGAAGGAAGGCCCTAGGATCATGAATACATATTATACATGCTCCCAAAGAGGGGAAAGCGAAATAAAAGTGGGGCAGGAGGGAAAAAACCACTGGCTCACAAGTTACCCCACTTCCCACGACAGGCACCATAAAAGACAGATCGACGCGTCCTTCGCGCTCGCGGCCCTTCCCGCTCGCACCCTTTCGATCTGGTCTCCTTTGCGACTCGCAGTGTTCAACAATGAAGACTTGGCCAATCGATTCCTTCAGGACAACACTACCTAAGTGCAGCTTGCCTTATCCAGGATAGCTATGACAAGTAGGGACTTGCCCTTTTCGATGTCGATTTTGCAGGCAAAAAGGGGGCCACCTGGTAAATGGGAGTTGGGTTGCATTCCAACCTGTAAGCATTAGCGCCGAGAGCAACCTACGCCAACAAATGAAAACCCGGATTTTGAAATAGGTCGCCTTGTAATATTACCTCCGGAGCCGAGCAGCCCAGCCAGCACAAGCGAATTCAATGGGCAAGCAGCTGATTCGGGGAATAATATTCATCGGGGAATAATAATTACGCCACCTCCAATGCCTTCGGACTGCGCCGCCGTGCAACCAAAAGGTTCGTGAACTTTGAACTGACACAACAAGTCAGTAACCCAACAGGCAGGAAGGTCTGAATCATGGGCCTCTGGATTGAATTTTGGGCTGGGGGTTAGAAGGCGGGACTTGGGTTTCTCTGTCAGAAAGGGGGATCTACTTCGAACTCTGCAAGAGCCTCGAACAGGTCGGCCGCTCAAAATATCTGAGGATCTCAAAAGGATCCCTTGGTTGGCATGTGTGTTTTTGTTGGCGTTCTATGTGTAAAAATGATTGGTCTGCGTTCACAATTGGGATCCACAATTGGTCGCCTTCACATGCTGCAGGTACCCTGCCCTCTCGGGTGGGCAGGTGGCCTCTCGCCTCAAAAACCATGCGACAGTTGTGTGAGTTTCCTGCAAAACTTGTATGTGCGTGTTGACCCATATAAGTGTGGGTCAAAAATATGTACCCCAAATGGAATCCTGGCAAGTGGACACATGAACCAAAACCTGGTCCCCTGGTGGTTTAATTTTGACCCATACCCATATGGGTGTCAGTCTTTTGGGGTAGAGGGAAACCAAATGAGGGCGTCCAACACAGCACCCTCCGGAAAGAGGCTGATTCACAAGGGAACACTGCACTTGGCTTCATGGCTGCGGCATCAGCTCCTCCAACCGCGGCTGGACTCGCCCTGACCAAGATGGCAATCCGGTGTGAACATCTGCACCAAAAGGGCTAGGGGGCTGAGATTTTTGGGACGCCGGGTTCCTTTCATTTACTCCTCCTAGAACGAATGGAATGAACATTATGAGTCAATTCCTTCAACTGGTTCCCAAGAGCAGCTTCGGCCTTCCTTCGGCCTTCGGCTAGACGTGTTCGGTGCCTCATGTTGTTCGGAATAAAGCACGCTAGTTCGAACATGTTGTTGCTGGTTTCTCTTCTGAGGTCATGTTTGTTTAACGAGGTTTGCCAACATGATGTAGCAACATGCAACGACCCACAGCCTCACCGGAAGTGTTGTTGGTCCGCAAAGGGGAAGAACTTTTGGCTGGCTTCCACAGGAACCACAAACAACCAGGTCTGCAAACCGTCCAAACATGCACTGACACTAAAGACCACATCTGCCACATCCCTTAAAACCTTGCAAGGAAAGTGCCGGCAATCGGACCCGCTTCGTTTCACCTGGCCATCTCAGTCCTGAAAGCGATTGCAAAGCTTGTGAATCGATGGCTGTCGAGAAAAAAAAGGAAGCCCCTGCAAAGGAAGGCTTTCCCCTTGGTTCCCATTCAACCATGGTGCAAGAAACGGCTCCCCTCCAGACCTTTTCCGCCGTGCCTGGCGCTCGTAGGGCCTCTTGGAGCGACTCCGCGAGACCTGGGCTCAAGCTGGCAACAGCGCATCGCCGACCAAAACTCGGCGCGTCTTCAACTTTTTGGAGGGGACACCGTTTTGGGGGTTGGTTTTTAGTGACGTTTACAGGGAAACCAAAAGGAAAACCACACCTCAATGAGTGGCAATTGACGTTTTCTGTTCATATCAAGAAACACAACATGGAACCTCATCATACTCACCCTTGTCGTTTTGGAGGCAACCAACATGAAACCAACATTTGGAAGGTTCCCCGATTTTGGTACATTACATTCTCGAATGAGCCTGGGACAAAATGACCCAAGAGGGCACAGAAAAATTGGGCGCCCCTTGGCTTCTAATTGGAACTTTGGCTGCACCCCCCCATGTCCTTCCTAAATAAACCTGGGCGCTACGTAGGCGGTTTGGAAAAATTAAACAATTCTCCCTTCCCTTCTGGTTCCACTTTGGGTAAATCCGAAATCATGGGCTGTTTAGCACCTAGTAACAGTAGACTTCCAATCCTTTTGTCTGCTCATCTAGCAGAGCGACGGCTGAACTCTTCCCTGAGCACGCCGCGCGGCGAGCTACTCGCCCCAAAGCCCGGCGCCGGTCTGCGCGGACAGTTCGGTTCGCTTGCCGCACGCTCGCAGGGAATGGTTTGTGGATGCCACTTTGGGGGTGGTTTAACAGCAAACCAAAAGGAAACTCATCTTTTTTGGGGTGTACTAGTCTAAGACACACCCATATTACGTTGTACAGCCCCACAGTTGTGGTTTTGGCGCCCAACATCTTCGTTTCAACAGCATGCCGTGTAGTCCGTACCGAGTACCAGAGTACCAGCGTACCAGTGTCGCGGCTGGGAAGCGGGCTGCAAACAAGCGCTCTCCCTGCAATGTCTTTTTTGAGAGGACCCTTGCGGTTGTGAAAGGAAAAGGACACCACACCATTCTGTGGGGTTCCCTGATTGCTGACTGACAAGCACGGGGTCTTACAACAAATCATTCATTGTGCCCAGCTGGCAGGGAAGGTCCGGGCCAAAATGGATCATGGGGGGGGCCTTGTTGAGATGCGGGTAGCCTTCCAACACTCTCCCGTCGTCGACTTTGATGACTGTCGCAAAACAACAAACCTGGTACCTCAAACTATCTGATGGGGGGTTTGATCATCCTGGCTTAGTTGCCACTGGTAGCTTCACTGGATTAGTGTGACCAAAGATCATACCATGTGTCACGCCCCGGGCTGGCCAACAATCAGCGCTTTCCCGCAACTGCCCTCAACCCATATTTGGAGCAGGGCACATCTGGGCACATGGACACTCCTGGACACTCCTTTTGGATCGGACCCTCTGGGCCTCTGCCCAAAATAGGCTCCAGCGCGGTTCCGAACGGCTGGCTTGGGTTCTGGGGTTGGCTTCGGGGACTGTTGGAACACCTGGGCTTCTCTGTTGACTTAAAAAAGGGATCCACCGGCATTCTGGGCGCACTCAGCGCTCCCGAGAACTCCGCCTTCGCGCCGTGGATCGCTCGGAATCGACGGCCTGGCGGAATCCAAGAGGATATTTTTGAACATGCTTCGGCCTTCGGCCAAACTGTGCGGGTCCTTCTCTCCTGCAAAACATGGAAACACAAAATGCCATGTCAGGAAAGCTCTTTTGAGACGCTCTGCAGAGTTTCATGGCTATTTTCAGCTTGTGGCTTTGGAAGGGGTGGGGGGTTGGGGTTCTAGAGCCTGGATAGTTGATGGAAGCTAGGATCTCGTGATTCCTGCAATTATCAGAGGAAGGTATCACAGCAGTTGGTGACTGATGAATAGCCCTCATCAGAACTACTGAGGGTTCCTCACCGCTTGCCAGCTGGGGAGATCATTCAAATCAAACATACATGTACCCTGGAAGAACATGAGCATGTCTACGGCTGACCAGTCCGGTCCGGAGAAATGCTCATTGCAAGCCACCATGGTTCCCAGCGAAGAGACGAGGAGACTGTCAGCACTTGGAGCTCGAGGCGTTTTCCTTTTGGGACCGCCAGCCAAAACTTTCTGCCACGAGCGGTGCCCATCACCATCAGCTCGCAAGGTGTCTCCCCCGGAATCAAAACCTTTCCCTCGACCAGACCCGTCTCGCACCAAGGAGCTGCAGCTGGCCATCCCGAGGTTCCCCAGCACTCAGAAAAGGAAAACCGGCAGCAACAAGAATGGGCCAAAGGACGAGCAAACAAACGCCGCAAACCGCTAGCCAAAACGAGGTGCGAAATTCAATAGGACCCTTTTAGGTGGAGATTCATATCCACTAACCACTTTGGAGGTCGTTCCTTGTTGAAACTCAGAGGCCACCGAACCGCGCCGGGACGGCGGCGGGTGACCCCGGCGGTCGGAGCTATGGGCGCCGTGACCTGTGGCCAGCAGCCGGGCGATGGAAAGCAGTCCAATCAAACAACAGAGATTTGACAAGAAAGCACAGAACAAAGGGGATTACCTATAAATATGGCAAGCCCCAAGAAGGGCGGTTTGCCTTGGGTGCTTCTTTAAAACAAGCCCCAAAAAGGACACAAGGATGACAGAAACGCCTATTCATCAGATAAACTGGTCCGATACACATGCGGTTCGACACCCAAACCCTGGTGGATAGGAAAAACTGCTTGGGAAATTAGAGAAGGGTCGGCAACATGGTGATGTTTTGTTGGGTTCTGACCGACTTGAAACGGCCTATGTTTTGCACCCTCCAGGTTCACTTCGGAATGTGAAACCGGAAGCCAACCACAAATCGTTTCAACAACCAGCTAAAGGATGTTGCCTGGAAAACAGGGCTAGTTGGTGCCCCATGGGTTCGCGGCGTCTAGTCTTTCTCCACTCGACTGACCCCGTCTGCAAACTCTTGCCCAAAATCGCAAGGGAGTGGGCGTTCTGTAGGAATTCGGTGCCAAAAAACAGTGGCAAGGAGCACAAGAGCCATGCTTGAATTCAAAGACTTGGCCGACCCGAAGACCACCGGCCGCGCTTTCGCCGCGTTCTCGCCGCGTTTTCGCCACGCAAGGAACACGCACAGCGCGAGGCCAATCGCGAGGCCAATCGCCAGGCATAGCAGGCCGAGGCGGTTTGGCGGCTCCTGTGAGCGGAAGCGGAAGCTGCACACCCAGTGGATCCATTTACCTATATAGGCAGCCACAGAAACCACCCTTGAAAAAAACACATGGAAAACGGTTGGGTACCTACTTGGGCAACTGGGATCCGGGTGTTTTACTTGCTCATGTTGTATGCACACAAGAGGAGCGGCATTCACAAAGAATTTCAGCCGCAGAAGCTTTACTGCACTACGACATGGGCTGAGCCTGCATGTGGTGGTGCGGCACCGGCCCATGCATCCCTCACAAGTCAACCTGGGATGTACTGGTGTAGCTTGGCAAAATCATTTTCCCGACTGAGAAACGAAGAACCCGACTTGCCCCAACAGCTGCTTTGTCCGAGGCTGTCGGAATAAACTATTTGTTCTTCACTTGTCTGTTCACGTACTTGGCATCAACGGGGGATCAGTAAAGACAAAACAACACCCAGAGAAAGGGCGATTCGAAGTGAAGTACGCAAGAAATCCTTGAACAATTCGAGCACGTTTGTTGAACAAGCTACAAACAAGAGATTTACATCGTTGCCGACACCTACAATTGAGGCTATGGAGCATCGGTTGACCCGTGCCTGTACAGGCCAACGCCCGAAGAAATGGAATCGAAGCCAGGTCTCGGCCAAAAAACCGAAGCTCATGGCTGCCTCCGTTGCATGGTTTATAGCCCCCGTTGCGGCGGTTGCCTTTCATGCCCAGCCAAAGTTTCCAAAAGGACTATCTCCAGATCCTTTCGGTTGAGGCAAATGAGGCAGATCTGGTTTCGGTGGAACCGTTGGGACAGGTGAAGTCGCGGTCAGTGTTTCGCCCAAAACCGCACGCGTGTTTTTTTTCTCACCACCACTATCACTTTTGCAAAAGCCAAGGGCTTCTCGAACGCTTTGAGTATCCACGATTGATTCCAGGCCCTCGCCAGGAATTTATGCTGCAGTAGGTAAGCAGTGGCTTTCCATTTGGCTTTTAACGGGTGGTTTCCTTAGCCTGCTAAGGTCGCAAGTTGAATCACTGCGTGTGGTGAAAACACTCGGAGTTGCGCGTTGAGGCCTTGGCTTGCCGCCAAATAGGATATGGCAACCCCCGACCGTGTGGGGCTTGCTCTTGCCCCTTCAAACCACTCCCAACAAATCCAAGCCTCAAAAAAGCATTGAAATGGCCCGCAAGGGTCTGAGCTTTGCGCCAAAATCGATTCCTGCCCTAGCGGCTGAGAAGTCTTGTCCAACAACAAAGTCGCTCCTTGATCTTGGCCACAGCATCCCAGTAGAGCAACTTCCGCAGCACACGCTCCGTGTCAGTCACCAGGCTGCTGGGCGAGCTCCCATGCCTGAGGCCAACCCTCACACGCCGAGCGCCCGTTCTCCGCGTCCAAAAGAACACGCCGCCCAGAAGGTGAGCACGGAATTGCGGGGATCCTCAAAAAAGTGCAGTGTCTCATGAAACATCAAACACGTGTTTGTCTCGGAAGGACATGGACAACATGGCAATGGTGTTCTTTGGCATTTACCAAACGTGCGTTCCCGGAAAAGCAAACTCGCAAAAGTGGGTGTGCCCATTTGTGCTGTCCACGGCAAACCTGGGGTCTCTTTCAAAAGGAGCCATCGCCAAACTATTGATCAAAGGACCTGGCCAAAGAACACGATCGCCCTTTGGAGCCTTGACAACGGAGCCCCAACTGGAAAGCCAACACTTGAGGTGAGAGGCTCTAAAATGAATAAGCGGTGTGAAGCCACGGGGCTAAACCTCTCTAGAACCATGCTCCCTGCTTTCTGGATTGCGCTCCACAATGCAAGACTGACTGTGTTTGCGTGTTTGTGCCACGCTTGTGTTCGTGTCTTTTCTCTTGCTAGATCGGCACGACTCGACAAGGCATACCGCATCAGAGATGGCTGCAGGGCCGCCTCTCACACAAATAACCATATGGCTGTGGGTCAAAAATCGGTACCCAAAATCGAACCCTAGAAAATGGAAACATGGACTAAAACCTCCCTGGTGGCTTAATTTTGACCCACCCAAAAATCAGTGACTCCCAGGTCTGGCAGAAAAAAAACGCAACATCTCCACACTGCCTAGCGCCGAGCCGCTGCTCGGGGCAGAAGAGCTGGCCCTCCACTTCGGAGTCGCAGACGGAAGATTCCATCGAGAGGAAATGCTGCACGCACTGGAGCTCGCCTAGCTCATGGATGACTTGGTCGGGTGTGCAATTTAATTGGGGACATGAGTTGCAGGAGTGTCCAACCATGTTGGATTTGGTTCCCTTCTCAAATGCGATAGCCAAAGTTGGGGTGTGGATGAATTGCCTCAGGGTTTCCTTGGCATGAAAGATGTGAGGAAGCTCGACCAAAACTGCACTTGGCAACCAGCGGACCCAGAATATACATTTGTCTTGTCTTTTGCCCAAAATCATACGTACTAGTACAAGCAAACAAATCGACTCATTCGCAACCAAAGGGAACAAACACTCGAACAGCTTATTAAACATGGCCCAAAGTCCTGCACTTTCAGTCTAAGAAGCCGAACATGTAAACATGACCATGTTTTTGGTTGGTCCAGGTTCAGGGGAAGCACCAATTCAAAACGGGCGTTGGGGATGCTGAACACGCAGACGGCAAGCCCAAAAAGGTGGCCTCAACGAACACTCTGCCCAAAAGGTTGACATCGGCGCAAGCTATGCTGCAACCCGAGACCAGAAACCCAAAGGCAACCCCCTGGCTTCGACATGAATCTACTGGACCCAAACGTAACAAGTGGTGACTTGATTGTGTTTGTCATGAAGCATATCCCCACCCCAACTGCGAAAAACGTGCCCCCTGCCTGTGTCCATTACTTTCCTTCAAAGGGACCGTGTATGGGGAACGGCCCTTCGGTCGGGTATCCTCCCTTCCCTACAATTGCTTGGGGATGTAACATCTTGCTCAACTGGCAGTTCTGATCGGTGAAGTGAGCTGGGTGCTCCTCATGACTTTTGCCTGCCTTGTAAAACCGACAAGCCTCTAGTTCCATGCCCAGTTGCCCATGCATGAAGTAGCTTTGTCTCAAGACAAATGGTGGATTTTTTAGGTCCTCCAGTAAAAGGATTAGAACAAGGGTACACTTTTTTCTGTAGGGGAACCCTCCCCCAAAAAAGGGTAAATGGGGCACTACTGGGGGGGCCTAGTTTCTTTCATCTTTGAGCATTTTACGCCCCAAAAAGGGGCTTAACCCTTCGGCACGCGCAAAACCGCGTGATCTTCCCGTCCTGAGGCGAAGCCAGAGCCGGACAGCTTGCGCTGCAGCAAGGTCTCCTGAAAGCTCTCCTGAGCTGAGGCCAAACCTCTGCCGCCATCTCTGGGGCAGAGGAAGGAATAAGAAAAATATTCCTTCGGAAAAGCGGGAAAACAGTCTGGACAATGCGCAGGGGCTTTATGCGGGGGCTTGGATCAACCCCGAAAGTGACCAGGGGCCGTGGGAGAACATGCGACGCATTGGGCGGTTGATTCGGAAGGAAAACAGAGGTGTGGTCCATGTGAAACCTTCTGGACTGGGAGTCCCAGCACACGGAATCGGAGCTTGTAGCCATCCAAAAGGGTCGAAGTCAGATGTCTAAGCCCCCCTGCCATTCATTCAGTTCTCCGTTTGGCAGGATTCCTTTCCAGTAGAACTGTTGCCTTTGGAGGTCAAGTACCCAGGCATGTTGGAAATATACTGCCAGAAACAGTTACGGGCTGGTCATTAGTAGGGACACCTTTTTTGGATTTCGCACGTGGTCAACCGAAACAGGTCCCTCTTTAGGGCCCCAGCCCGTAGGCTGCCCTCTTGGAGGCTTAGGAGGTCAACCAACTTGATGGGTGCCTTTGTGGACATTCGCGACTACTTCATCACCAAAAAGGGATTCCCTCGGCACAAACATCTGCCCTCAAGCCCGGCTTCCAACCATTCCAACTGAGCTCAACTGGCGAAAACCCCGAAATGGGATCCAAAACGGTTTTGACCACCACAGCCAACTAGTCACAACTCTCTTCCAACCATTCCAACCAGTTCAACTGGTGATGCACCGAAAACCCCGAAATGGGATCCCATTGGTTTTGACTCTCGAGTCTCCTGGCAGCGCAGGATCTGGAAGCTCCAGGGCAGTTCTGCGCTCCACTGCTCTGCCATCGTGCCCTGGCGTTTGGAGCGAGCAGATTTGGACCGTCCTGCTGAATTCAAATGGGTTTGCAGGGGTTTGGTTCTCCTGTGACTCCTATTGGGCTGACACTCGTAAATCCGAACAGATGCCTTGAAGGATACCTGCATCATCCTTCT